CCAGCTGCTGAAGTTCCGTGAGGTTGATACCGGGACGTGAGGAACATCGGGGTTATCTGGTGTAGCGACTGTAGCGTATGCATACCACGTGCTGTTCACCTGGATTAGCCCCGGGTCGGGGAAATCATGCACGACGCGGACTGGACGATTGGCGCTGTTGTAGTAGCTGGGATCGTCGTCGTGGGCATCGTCCACCAGGAGAACTACTGGGACGGTTATCACCACCACGATTATGGCTACGCTTAGAGCTATCAGGGTGATGAGCCATGTTATTTTCCTTCGCGTCCAGATCATGGGGTTTTTTGAGCCGCCTGGGGGTGTGTCCGCTGAGGGCGGCTTGGTGGGTGTTATAGTACTACCACTCTGGCCCTCATTCTCAGCAGTATCTGTGGATGGGGTGGATTGTGTCCAATTTTTGGTGGTGCTGCTGCTGTTCAGCAGTGATGGGAGGCCTTTCATGGTATCCACCTGGGTGAGAGTGTACTTGCTGGGATGTTGCCATCCGCGCACGCGAACCAGGGAATGTTTTGGGTCTGGAGGGTGGCATTTACTACCTTACTGTGTTTAGTGGTTTAGGGGGAGAAGGTAGCTGGGCCAATGAGGTGAGCCATTGGTGGAAAATAAGTAGAGGTTTTGAGGTCAGCGATAACGGGTCATGGCAAACAGATGATAGGAACGATGGTGAGGAAAGTTTGGAGTCAAGCACGCAAGTCATTGTGAAACAGGCCGAGCGAGACTTGACCTGTCTGACCATACCTATAATGTGAGTGGACGGGACGATCAGCCACTGCCAACAGCGTCGGAAATGTCAGATTCCTGTTCGCCATTCTGAGAGATCCAGATCCGCTCGATCCCTGCTTACCTCAGCGGCTAGGTCAACATTCTTCTATTCCTGGGTTATCAGTAATGGATTTGGTGGTGTCGCAGAGCAGGGAAGAGTAGTACAGCCTCATCGTATGCTTGACAATGAGCGACTCAATGTATGCATTCTGGTTGAGTCTACAATTAGGTGCACACTCTAGCTCGTGATGCTTCTATTGATAGTGATCAGTACCTTGGATTCATCCAAGCCACCTACAACCACAGCTCGTTTCCGTGTTCCTTGGCTGAGAAACCTGTTGTAAGGTTTCATCTGCGGGAGAGTTCACGACTCGGTTCAGGCACTGTAACATTCAACGTGGGAATTGTTTTTCAAGGTTTCAGGAACCCATCCAAGGTCCGGAGATGCGCTTATCCCTATCTGGTATGTAGCGGGCCTGGGAGACCGCAAAGAGCCATTCAACGCCTGGGGAGGTTCCACGTGTTGCACGTGACCGTAGAGAAGAAAGGGGGATCGGGACTGTCCTCAACACAACCAGGAGCTTTCAAGTAAACCTATGGAGTACCACAAAATAAGTCACACCCGTAGAGTGGTGAAAGATTTGTGTATGTCTTGCTGCGGAAAGTCCTGGTGTTCAGTTGTCAAACTTGACAGTGTTATTAAAACCACAAAGAGTATAGCGTGACTGCAGATCAGCTACTGTGATAAGTTTGTAGTATGCTGCTAAGTTGACATGGCCAGTGGCTGGTGGTGGAGGAGATATCGAGCCAATGATAGCTGCAGTGGTTGTTGCTTGGCCTGACCCGCGCCCTGTAAGTGGACGAGCCATGCAGGTCAAGCAATGTAGGTGGCTTTCACCTGTCACTATCACGCAGAGATGGTCATTCCAACACTCCGTACAAGTTCATCTACTAAGCGCCGGAGCCAAGAAGTCGGGGGTGCAGCAGTCGGCCCAGCGTATGACGCGGCTTCACCAGGCTGACGCAGTGTCCACCCTTCAGGCTACGTAAACCACCTCTTCTTGGGATGGGCTGAGCGGGTGTGTGCCCCTCAGCTTAACTCCGATGTGAATGGGGACACGATTCGTAGTAGAGATTGATGCGAAAGCATGAACCCTTTCACCCAAAAAGGGTCGCCTGGAGATAAAAGTAACCTTATTGCAGCAGGGACTGCTCAGAGATCTAGACCGCGTAGTGGACCGGGCACAGTTTCTAAAATCGTTGCGATCACGGCGACATTTGGCTGCAAACGGCCAACCACCACCAACCCGATTTGTGGGGAAAACGAAGGCGATACCACCTCGGATGTGAAGTTTATCGGCAACACAACCATCATCCCGCATCTCATGTTGAGACAAACCATCCTGCCAAGGGAACTGCGAACCAAGCACTTCAGACGAGTAAGCATTTAATCAATCTGACAAGGCTTAGACGATCATCTCCTGTTGCGGATGCAGACGAACGAGGGTGTGTGGATGCCAACGTCGTATGCCATCCAGCAATTTTTAGCGACGCGTTTGACTGGGTCGGAACTTATAATGCAGAACTGCAACCCCTGGTTTTTAATTTGATCACAAAAGAGAATTGTATTCTTCTTCTGGTGGTGTACTTAGTGTCCTGGAAATATTCTCCTGCAGACTGTGGAATAACGACCACATTCTAGACGGCAGAGAGTGGAATGGTCGAATGCTTATCAGCCGAAGTGCCCGCCGTTTCTGACGCCACCAAACGACTTACTCTTTCGCCGTCGTCACTCGGCTCCACTGCTGCTGCTTAGCCTTAAGCTCAACAACCTTTTTCTTCGCCGGCTCCTCACTCCTCCTCTTCCAGCACCAGCTGGCCTCTGTCTGCTCTGCTGCTCTTGCCTTGATTTGCTTCTAGCCTCCTAGCAATTCCTTCAACCGGCAAGACAGCTGTGCTATACCTACCAATCAATTGCGGTTCTTTTGTTTACGGCGCCTACCGACCCCCGACCACAGCGACCGCGCGGCCCCGGAGTCTTGACGCTTTTCTTACGAAACACCCCTAAAACCTTGCAGTGGCACGATCGCACAAAACAGCTAGCTATGCGAAATTGCTGACACTACTTCTGGCGAAACGGCTTTTGACACGATATACATATCGATCTTGCGTTTATCGTTGCCTGGCGTTGATCTGCTTTGATCGTCGGCGGAGTTGCGGAGAAGACCGGCTGCGGTTCTACATAACTTAGCTGTCTGCCAGCTCATTGCGCCTGTGTGACTATCCACCTAATTAGCGATCTTCTCATATCTCCATAGCGATGCTCACCTTTCGGAAGTCGCTACTAGCGGCTGCGCTTCTGATTACCTTCATCGTCTACCTCCGATCGTCGCATCCCGCCTCTTCCCTCCCGTCCCCAGAGACCGCCTCCGCCGGACACCTATACAATCAGGATTACGACGGCCATGCAGACAATGATCGAAAAGGTGGAACGAGGGACACCGTACAACAGCTGCCGCTGACCCCGCCACCGAGCGCCCCCTTGCGCGAGCGCTTGCGCTACCATTTTCCGTACGATCTGGAAGCCAAGTTTCCTGCATTCATCTGGCAGACGTGGAAATATGCGCCCTCCTCGATGTTCTTCAGCGAAAGCCTTCGTGATCCCGAGTCCAGCTGGTCCGAGCTGCATCCCGGATTTGTCCACGAGGTCGTTCCCGATGATACCCAACGCCATCTGATCAAATACCTGTACGGTGCTGTTCCGGATGTGTTCGAGGCCTACGATGCTATGCCGTTGCCCGTCTTGAAGGCCGACTTTTTCCGATACTTGATCCTGCTCGCGCGGGGTGGAATTTACAGCGATATTGATACTACGGCGTTGAAGCCGGCGTCTGACTGGCTGCCAGCAGAGTTGGATCTGGCCACAGTTGGAGCGGTGGTGGGCATTGAGGCGGATCCTGACCGCCCCGACTGGCATGACTGGTATGCGCGCAGAATCCAGTTCTGCCAATGGACCATCCAAGCCAAGCCCGGGCACCCCATCATGCGCGATATTGTCTCTTACATCACGGAGGAGACATTGCGGATGAAGAAGGCGGGTATTCTAAAGACTGGCAAGATGGATAAGACTGTCATGGAGTACACTGGCCCCGGCGCTTGGACGGATGCCGTTTTCCGGTATTTCAACGATCCTGACTATTTCAACATTGAGCCCGGCTCGACGTTGAACATCACATATGAGGACTTCACCGGGCAGGAAGGATATAAGAAGGTGGGAGACGTGGTGGTCTTGCCCATCACCAGCTTCAGCCCGGGAGTGCACCAAATGGGTGCTGGGGATGTCGATGATCCCATGGCATTCGTGAAACATCACTTTGAAGGTATGACACCTCCTTTGTCTATGGCTTGACTTGAAGCTAACATGCCAACCAGGAACTTGGAAGGATGACCCATCTCTATAAGATGTCATCAAAAATCGCTTTACACCAATCTACACTTCGACTCATCAATCCAGCTGGCTCCGCCAGTAGGACACTGAATGTCTCTACCCATACAACACGTGTCATCACACAATGAATATGACCACATACCCTCAGTGGCATATCATCCGATGCTTGCACATTGCCGGTTGACACGAGCAAGAAGCTCTCATGACCGCCCGTTCGGCAACCTCGCAGCATCTACCCACCAGTCTCCGTCCTCGACCTAATGCCCTTGCTCACCCAAGCTAGCCATGTCACGTATACGAAATGCTGGCTTCACTACCGAGTAAGCTATTGCTTGTGCTCTAAGTCACGGCTCTTAGCTTATCTCTCTCATGACAAGCACGTCCGAGCTTCAGCTCGATCGATACTATGCTTGTCAATGGCTCCCGTCTTTTTCTTCTCTGTGTTCATATATCTGCGTTATATTTTTTTAGTGTCTTGCTCCAAAATCTTTAGAATTTGATACCCGCAGGCTGGGAACACGAATGAGAACAGCGATGCATCATGATCACCTTGGACATATCCTCCACCTAATTTAGAAATGTCTTTGTATCCTCGACAGGGCCTTGCTGCGCATACTTAACTTAGGCTGGTAGAGAAGTAGTCAAATAAGATTCATGATAGATAAGTCCTGTCACGGCAGATCACGCACTTTCTATAATGATGTAGCTACCAGAAAGGTTGATGATAAGCAAAATAACAATCACCAAAACAGAAACCGACACCGACTGTCCATTATATATCCGAACAAAACCTCACCAAACACTCCTCCTTATACGCCTTCAACTGCTCCATCTTCAACCTCTTAAATAACTCCAGCTCCACTCTTGCCTCCTCATCAAGCTCCTCAATACCAGTACCAGCAGAATGTAAAGTATCCCAATAAACAACATCAACATCAAAGCTCTTCCTCGCCGCATAATCGAACCAAAACCGACCGGCACTCCACGAATCGCGCATCCTGGCAGAAAGGGCCAGATGACCGGGCCGCTTGTACTCAACCTCGTGCTCCACCCTCGCCAGAGCACGCAAGAACTGTTCCATTCTGGGCTCATACAGTTCGAGAAACTCGTCCAATGCACAACGCTCAAGTCACACTTCCGGTCCAGAAAGTAATAGCCACCAGGGCGGATCATAGCTGAACGCCGCCGGCATGGCGTTGGTGAATTCGAAGTCCAGAACGGCGGAGATGCGGTGGGTGTCTGGGTCTATGAGCATATTGGAAGGTCGCATGTCGTCGCAGAAGAGTATGAATGGTTCGTTTTCTGTTGGGTAGTACTTTGTGATGAGTTGTTTGAAGCGATGGCGGGCGATGAATCGGTCTTGAGCGATGTCGGGATTATCGGCGATGTTGCGCTGAGTGTGAAGATGGGTCAGATGCTCGTTTGCAAGGGAGGCGAGGTATTCGCTGGAGCGGTCAAAGGGCGCGTTTGGCCATTTGTCAACAGGGTAGCCGGAGACAGTGACTAGCTCGTTCATGTTGTATGTTAGGGGCCGGTTGGGGACGTGCCATGTGTTGGATGTGTTGTCTTTCGAGATAGCTCCGATTTTGGGGAATGTCAGGTGGGAGAGTTGGAGTAGGTAGCGGGCGATTTGATAGTAGATGTTGTCTAAGAGTGTGTTGTCAATTTTCGGGTTTAGGTACAAGTCTTCTTCATCCGGCTGTTTCAAGATGGTTGATAGGAGGGTTCCGGTGACATAGTCCATGATGATGAATGGGCCAAGGTTATGTGGACTATCGGCGGTTAAGCCCCAGCTGTGAATACGGGGGATCGGGATATCGGTGTGTTGGCGGAGGTATTCCATGAATTGAACTTCATTCGTAACCTTTTCATCTCGGTACGCTATAGCAGTGTGTCCCGGCTTGGGGAACCGAATAATGGTGTCCGGTCGTCCATCGCTGAAGGTGTAGCGGAAGCTGAAGTTGAAGGAGCCTTTGAGAAATTCAACATATGTTCCGGTTCCCCCTCCTCGGCGCGTAGCGACAAATGTTGCTAGTTCGGCTCGTGCGTCGAAAAGACTGTCTAACCATTTCCTGCATTCATCATCACCATTCGTTTCTTCAAGCTCGTCGAAGTAGGTCTTGAGTGGGGATGTCTTTTGTTGAGGCATTGGAGGGGTGGGATGCGGGCTAGATACGCGTGGTGGTAGTGACAGATGTTTGGTCAGGCCAGAGCGTACAGTCGGATAGAATATGGAAGATACAAGAAAGATAAGTTGGATGGAGAAGGAATTTGAAGGAGGTGAGGCAACCGTGTAAGACGACGGGGACATGCATTGAGGGTTAGACTAAAACTGCAGCCGCAATGACAGTCCCTGGAGTCCTCCGCATATGCTTGTGATTCGTCCCAAATCTCTCACCATTACGCACAGGACACTGGCAGCATACTACGCGAACTTCTTGCTCAAGCGGAGAACAGCAAGACGAGATAGATACTGCGAGGGCTTGTATCTATATGCCTGACTTAGAGGTCTAGATGTGACTGATTTTTCGCTTGACCAAGAAATTGAAGCCGACACTATTGGCTAGGAGATGCTATTCAACTTCATAGCGGAAATTGCTTCGTATTTTTTGCACCAACCGCAGACACTCGCGCCTCTTTTTAGCTGTGACCAACAGCCACGCTATGAAATGAACCTCACTCGACTTTGGCCCAACCAGTCTATCTCCCTTCTTCTTGATTGTTGCGTACAGCGGCACATGTGGCTCCAATTCGGGGTGCTGGCGCAGGAGCTCCGCAGTAGCATCTTCGGTTTTCATGATCCCAGAAACGTCTTCCTGGAGGACTAGTATCGAGAGGTTGGAGCGAGGCCCATCAGAAAATGGGTGGCATAAAGCCCTGTATCGAAGCTCATCATTGACGGAAAAGAGCATTTGCTGGGCGAAATAATCCACCCCATAGACCAAGTTGACGCCAACAGTCTCTAGATACCCTGCTGGGCGAGCGTTGATTTCGAGGAGGTACACGCGCACACTCCTTCCACTACTTGAATCAGTATCTCTGCGGTGATACAGGTCCTCAAACCCGTTGTCATCTTTTCGAAACTCATGACTCGAATACTGCAACCGCGCTTCGCAATGAAATGTACCGGTTGAGAATCCCTGACGAAGGATACTCTGGTGCAAGGTATCCCGGATGGCCTTCAATTCATGCAATGGAAGTGCGGAAGGGATATGAACCATAGTCTCAACAAAGTTATGGCTTTGCTGAGAGTCCCTATCGCCTGGGCTCGGGAAGTCATCACTAATCTCGCAGAAGATCACTTCGCCATTCAGCAATACGAAGTTGGCATCGACTTCTGGGCCATCGATATATGGCTCAATAACGGCGTCACTCCGCTGCTGCGGACTTAATGCGTGACACTCGCAAGCTTTCTCGACAGCCTTAAATAACTCAACTTCCGTGGACACTTTTGTGACAGCCTGACTTCCCCATCCCAGGCAAGGCTTGACGATGAGAGGATACGCCACCTCGGTAGACCGAAGTACTTTCGACAGTTCATCCGTCCCAAAGACCCGGAAAGCCCCGTGCGTGTCTGGCTCCATCATGCGAGTTTGATACTTATCTCCGGCCAGCACATAAGCCGACGATGGGGAGGTAGGATATCCAAGGATTTCACACGCCCGAGCCACTCCGATTAAGCGACTATCGCTCACTGTCATTATGCCATCAATGGGCTTGTCGTAGCTGCGGACAGCCGTGACGATCCTATCCACAAACCCCTCATCCACATCGATGTTTGTGGCAATGAATCCCTCTCGGAGATGGGCGTACGGCCCATGGTCATCCTCCAGCCAGTGGCCAGGCTTGTCAATGATTACTAGAGTGATCCCCAAGGCTACTGCCGCCTCGTACATGCGTCGACTGGCATCCGCGTCTTTGCGCCCTTCCACCCAGGCAAGGCGTTTCCGGGCAATTGGTGTGGGGACTACCCATGGGTATGAGATACGGTTGCATAATGCCTCTTCGACACTATCTAGCGTGTCGTGGAGATCGGTGACAGAGCTAGTGTCAAGTAGGATGGCACCGACGGTTATAGACAGGAGTGCACTCAGATCATGCGCCGTTCCAGCTATCGGTGCTCGTGGAGTTGTGACTTTTTGTAATGGACGCAAGAATCCTACTACCCAGGAAACATGCTTCATCCCATCCAAGCGCTGCTGTAAGAAATCAGACCGCACGAGATAGCCATCTTCCCGGGATAAGACAAATTTCATAATGACCGGGAACGTATCATCAACGCCTTTCTTGCATTTCTTGATAACCTCGACGATGAAGCTGGTGATTCCTGGTGCCAGATTCCGTGGAGTATTGAGCTCTTTGTCATCATTCTGTTCATCGTCATAGCACACTGCTGACTCAACACCATTGATGCCTTCGGTCCGGGTAATCAAGGTGTTTCTAGGATAAAGCACGACGTTGAGAGACTCGTGTCTCTGACCATCAAAACCCTTAACAGGGTCGGCCTTACTCCAATCACATTTAAAATGATCTGATATAGCAGTGCATGATTAGAGACAGGTCGGTGTAGAAAACACAAGTTGGGCGAACTTACCGGTACTACACTCTGTAGTGACAGCTACGGTACAGGTATAGGCCATTCTGAGAGAGCGGGCAAGATAGGGTCTCGACGAGACTTGGGTGTGGGGAGAAGATGAGTCCGGTAGATGAGAGCCAGTAGGCCTTCAAGGGCTTCAAATACCGCATGAGAAGTCGGAATACTCCTCAATTTTATGCAGGAGAATTCCTCGATCGAGTGAGGCGGTTTCAGCCTAATATGGGGTGAAGCTCAGGTTAGGCTCGGATTCGGAGTCGGAGTCGGCATACAGTATGGTCTTACTCAATTACTATTGGTTGTGTAAAGATAGTCGTAGAATGTAAGTATTGTGAAGGTGCTTGATAGCGATATACTTTTAGTGGGCATTGTACTCTGTACTCTGTACCTTTCATAAATTTAGTCTTTATTAGTATTGAGCATAGTAGTAAGAGGTTACAGCTTGAATGAGTACCTGAAAAGCCTAGGTCAATAACTTGAAGTTTGATGGTAGTCATTTGTAAATAAACATATCTTTTTCAAGCAATTATACAATGGCAGGAAGTCCGTATATTTAAATCCCAGACAGAACTCATACTCTTTTGCTATTACTTGTGGTCGAACGTCATGTATAAAAGGAGTAGGTAGCCATGCAAGGCTCATTATCTAAAGTCGTATTTTCAACTGTTCGAATAGACGCATGTAATGAGACAAGTATATGTTCTACAACTTATATTGGATGCTGTCTTCTACTAGTGTTATGGGATGAAACTAGATGACAATTTCTAGATTAAGAGTGCCGTAGAAACAATAAGGCATATATAAGGAGCAGGAACCAATAAGCGAAAGCATGGCGGCAGATATATTATTAGCCTCCAGAGAGTGCCACCGGTTCTCGGAAGGGCCGCCCAAGTTCCAACCAGTGATCCTTAAAATGTTGGAAGAAAAAGAAAGAAAAATCAACAATTGAGCCATGATCATTCAAGAGCAGATCCAGGAACCACACACGCGTAGCGATAGGTAGTGGCTGAATAGAACGTATTCCCTGCCAGACTTTCAACCATTCCTCGAAAGAGTCGGAGCTGATCTTTACTGAACTTGCCGGACTGTTCAAAGTCGTCATACATCTGATCCAGCTGATTTTCGATACTCCACAGAATGTTTCGTAGGATCACTTTTGCGGTATTTGGGCACACCCCTAAGAGGGACTGCAAGACGTGTACCCCATTGACTAGCGCACCGCCATCCTTCATCTGCAGCACTTCCTTCGAATAGGAATATAGGTCGTTTGTCAGTGAAATGTGTGTCATATACAGTTGGCGAGCCGGGGCTAACGCTTCCATTTCTGAAGTGGACAATGTGACTTCACATGAGATTTTCAGTGATGCTATAACCCATCTGCGTGATTGTCAGCAAGTCGTGTTCCCCTATCCCTCAATTTCCAATAGGGCAGACGGCCAAGACTTACTCTACTGCAAAGTCCTCAATGCGATACCTGATGTAGTCGGCAAATGATGCGAACTCTGTTTGCTGCTTGGGCGGGTTCCTGCGTGTATGTCGGGCCCATCTAAGCATCCCTCCTAGAAACTCCTTTGCATTGGCAGGGTCCTCATCCACGACCTCAAGAGCAAACTGATGAAAAGGGTTATTTTGCCACATCTGCGCTTCTTCAAGGGCTTTGTCACTGAACTGAACCTCGGCAAGGTCCTCTTCAAAGATGGAAGAACCCTTTTAATAAGCATTTCCTTATTAGTTCGTCTTCCAGATCAACCTTAACAGCTGACACGTGTGATATTAGAAACTAATTTCACCTCTATTTGGCCAACCTCAACTCGATCTGCAGCGAAAATGTTAGACCAAAAAATCTCAACTTGAATCAACAGGACATACCGTCATGTATAAAGATTAGCAAATTTGCCTTTGCCATTAGCTCTGCGCGACGGGGATTTGAAGCCGGGAACATATTGATCGAGGCTGTAACTCCCGTTTCAATGAGTTCATCGTACTTGCTCATTTGGGTCAACGAAGAGTGCCCTTCCAATTGGGTCAGTTCATGGTCTTGGGGTAGGACAGAAAGGATATTTGCTGCCAGCTGTTTGGCTGCTCTCTCTGCTTCTTTCCAATGCCTACTTTGCACCGACACAGGAAAGGACGTTGGCCAGGGCACCCCTAATAAACGGGGGTCGAATATGTTGCTGTTATCACGCCTGCCAGGAGCATTCTGCACGGCCAAAAACGTGAAATTGCCGGTTGGGGGTCCGTTGAATTGATCAGTAGGGTCAAATGAATAGAGTATTGGCCGGGTGCTCGAAGTTACTGTATCGTTTGTCATGGCTTCACTTGATAATAGAGGGACTGGCTTTGCAAATTAACGAATAAAGGGAAACAGCGAGCAAGTATGAGATGTGGTGTCAAAATGGCTCCGAAGAGGATAGATGAGGAAGGTGGGTTGCGCCTTCTCAGATGTATGTCTTCACACATTTCTCCCTCGCTCCTTTGGGTGTCTCGCAGTTATCCCTTGCTCCTATTGTTAAGCACACGGACAGTATCGACAGAACCAATTTCAAGTTATCTGAACATAAAAGGTAGAGTAAGGGGCCAGCACGAGGTGGCTTCGGCTTCATTTCTCGAAATTGATCCTCCTCACTCCGCGCCAGCATACTGTAGGAGAATGTCCTCATTCAAAGAGCCGGTTAAGTGTAGACGGCACTTGAGAGCAGTAGATACTAAGTAAGGTTGAGGGTTTTCCAGCAAGAGTTTACTGGAGAGTAAGTGATTCCACCAGAGCTGCCAAACGCTAAGATTAACCCAAATTGCAGAGTACGTCCAACGAACCAGAGTGAAGGCATCGTCCGTAATCACAGATAGAATTGACTACTAGTAGACAGGACTAAGTACCAAGTAAGTGGTAAATAGTAGGGGTGGAAGGGAATAGGCCGCCTACTAACTGGTAGCGAGTAAGCGTTTAAGGGAATTCTAAAAGTATATGATGCAGGTATATACTCTTGCCTCCTGTGAATACTCCTGAATTGTAACTGAATCACGGATCGAAAGATTTTGATTATCACCAGATACCCGCAGGCAGCTAAAGAATTTAGAGTGTGTTGCAAGCTGGGAGGCTACTGCAGGAGGCGTAAAAAAGATGTCGAGAGTGAGTATGTTTCTGTCCTTACAGACCAGGTGACGTAGCCCGGTTTCCCAACTAGGAGACTCAAAGATGTCCCGCTAGCCTCAATCCCGAGTGATCAACTCAGATAAGGTTCCTGATTCATCACGACTCGAGGACGGGGTCTACTGTTATCTGAGTGGTGGCAAGTTGCGTAGTGGTAGCGGACGAGACCGTGGGAAGAGAGCAAGGCCGAGGGTTGCAAGGTGATCGTGAAACTATCTTGAAAGGCCATAGCCTTCCGAACGAAGATGCCGAACACTTCGATCTCATTCTTGGAGCCCTGGAACGGCTAGAGTATGGTGTGTTATATGAACCTACGGTTTCTCTGCTCCTATATCATAGCCTGCAGTGATAGCATGCCACCTCCACTATATCCGAAGGATATGGTGGGCGTATGGATGTAGGATCCAGACATTTTAGCTTTAAACTAGTCATTTCCTATATTGGTGGTGACGGGGGACCTGAAGAATATTTCAAAGGAAATGCCCAGGCTTCTTTGGCCTAGAAGTGCAACTATACATGTGAAGTGCCGGGATTCTACTTCATATCATGCGAATGCAGATCGTCGACCTAAGATCTCTTCCAAACATAGCTAGCCTTAAATTGCTGGGTAGATTCCTCTTTATTTAATTTTCCGTCATTGGAGATTTCGCTCTCTGCTTGTATTGCGCATTGACCTCGTAGCTCATTTATAGTGCTTCAATTAGGCCAAACAGGTGGCTTCTAGATTCGCACCACCTTGTTGGCCACTCAAAGCATCAGTCAAATCCACCAGTCTTGATCCACTACCGTAGCTAGTCGAATGTATTTAGGAAATCTATATGCACCTATGCATGTTGGCTATTAGCATGAATTATACTGCACGCGATAGGTATATGGGCCCTGAAATGTGAGACTACGCATATTGATCAATATGCAGGGAATAGAGGTTGATATGCTCCAGGCGTCTCCATAACTATGTGCAACCTATGTATGCGAGCAATGCAAAAAGCGGAACATATGCAATAAGATAATTTGAATTGGCAACATGAATATATTTGTTCTCTGAGATAAGCGTCGTAATGATCATCTCTCAAGTCCAGTGCTTGTCATCTTGGCAGTAGAGCCCTGAATTTGAGGATCCACCAAGTCTAGCCAGACAGGAACCTAGGTAAGAGGCAAAGCGAGGAAACGGTGGAAAGGAAGAACCGATGAAATGAAACCTAGGCTGCATCATGGCTTAACAGGAGCAGCTCAATGATTCTTCAAGACGCATGATGATAGCACTTCCTTGAACCTCCCTTTAGGGAGGCTGCCATCCGCCTCAAACCCCTCGACAAGCTTACGGATAGCTTCCATAAGATCAGAGTCGCACTTATCTAACACTGCCCTCACTAGCCCTCCTGCTTCTGGAACGGATAAGTCATGTTTGATGCAAACACGGATCAGAGGAATTAATCCACTGTATCTGTTTATCTTTTCATCAAGAGCAGATGAAGCCAGGGCATCCATAAATACATCCTCCGAGAGATCGACTGCTTTAGAATACTGAACAACATGGTTACCAGCATTCTTCTGAATGTGTACCAAAGAGGGCCAATTACGACCATAAGAGAAATCGCATGAGTCTCGATCAAACTTCCAGATCGCTCTCCAAATGCGGTTAAGGTCTATATTGCCAGGCCATTCACGGAGGAGCCACTGTAGCCCGTTAAGGCCGTTTGCAGCGGCAAAAACCATGACTCTTTCGGTAAGTGGTACAGCCAAACCATACTTCTCAAGCAACCACGGTAATGCGGACAAATCTGCATGAGTGGCAATCACAACAACTTCCTCGGTTATCATAGGAGGTGCCTCGGGCCCTAGTGCTTGAAGCAGAAGTTGTAAAGCTTCTAATGTGGTCGAGGCTGCCACTAGAACCTTCTCTGTGATTGGCACCTGTGGACCATAATGTGCCAAAATCCGTCGCAAATTTACAACTGGACGAAATGGTCTTACCACAGCAGCCATGACTTCTTCTAAGATTGGAAAAGATTCTATTCGCTCATTGAGCAGAACACATAATGCATCCCTGCCCCAACCGGAAGCTGCTCGGATGGCGGCTTGCTCTGTGATGGGTACACGGGGTGTTGTCTGCAGCAGGAGTTCCAGAGCTGAGGCATTATGTGCAAATCTTTCTATAATCCCATGGTCAACTTCAAAGGACTTCTCATTCAACAGGAGCTGAAGTGTATCTGTAGGCTTTCGACCATTATCTTTTTCCAATGCTTCGATCATTCTCGTCACTGGCAATTGGCTATGCGGTTGTTCCATCAAAACCGTTAAAGTCGACATATAGCCACGGCATGATTCGACAAACATATCTTCGCTCACGTAGATCATTGGTCTGCTGCGGAAGATGGCCTTCAGAGTGTCAGGCTTAAAGGTTTTCACAGCATGCAATAAGAACTTTTTTGTGATAGGAAGAGGATGTATCTGGGACCTTTCTTCAAGATCCAGCAAATAACACAGCAAGTCATCACAAGAAATTTTGAGCATCATGCCTTCAGTGATTGGAACTTTCAAGCCTCCGTTGTTCATAAGTAATTCAACAACATGTTTACCCCTTGCTTTGGAGGCTGCCGTGTCCAGTCTTGCGGGAGTGACGATAAATCCTGCTTGCTGCCTGCGCAGGAGCATTTCGAGCATTTCAGCTCCATAAAATCGGTTGCGTACAATCTCCAGCATGACTCTTTCGCTCATTGCAAAATCCAGACCACGATCATCTAGCAAGGCTTCCAGCTTTTTGCTATCTCTGTTACACGCTGCTTCACACAGAAGATCCTCGCTAACTGGTGGCCAATGCCGTCGATGGCGGAGAATCTGACGCAAGACATCGACACCGCTACGGTTTTGAACAGCGCTCGCCAGAACATTCTCGGTCAGCATCGAATCGTTGTCCAACATACTTAAGACTATTTCCATTTCAGTGCCGCCCGCGTATCTCGCAAGATTAGCAACGAACTGCTCATCTATCACGATCTCTGCATGCCGTTGCGCAAGAAGTATTGCGATTGCGCGCACGTTCATATGGTCCGGGAATTCCAGCATCTCCTTGATTCGTGAATAGATTCTGACATCATCATTGCGCCTTTGGAGAAGAAGCTCCAAAATATCGTCACCACATCCCTTGTTTCGTAGCACGGTTTCCAACACGTTCTCTGTGACAGGCACAAGTGCAACTCCTGTCCCTTCGAGCCGTTCAAGGAGGATGGTCATGAGTTTCATGCCACAAACCCTGTTCCTCGCCGCAGCAACAACAATGCGTTCATCTATCTGAAGTCCTTTGTTTTCGGTTCTAGTGAGAATAGCACCTGAAGCTGAGAATGTGTCAAATATATCTTCCAGCTTCTTGCTTTCAGAACCATGGCATCGAAGAACTTCCACTATGCCCTCGGCTAGATTAATAGACACACACACCTTGTGCAGCAGTAAATCCAGTATGTCCAGATGCCCATTTTCAGAAGCCATCAGTAACGCATTTTCTAGTACCTGGCCAAGACCCCATTCCAATCCATATGCAAAGCACTCTAAAGGGTCCGCGCCTTCTTCTAGTAAACCAATCACTGTTTGAATGAGCCCTAAGCCGGATGCGATACCAATAGGGGTTGACTGTACATCTCCCTCCACAAATTCTGTCGTTATGTAACGCCAGTTGCGGTAGGCAGTCGGTTGACGAAATAGCAGATTCACCATCTCCTGTAAACTCTCTAGTGCTGGGCTTGGAGTAACAGCGGAAGCTTTAAAGTGCTCCTGCCAATAACGTGCAGCGTAACGTAGCAGTACTTCCTTCCCCACTTCCTCTTTAGACAGTCTACTCGTCATTTGCAGGAGGATTTTCAAGCTCTGATCGGCTAGCATGATGTGTCCTTTCAAGGTGGAGAGTTGGTGCCATTGGCCTGTACACTCGTTGTCAACGAGAAATTCCTTCACAGAGAAGTGAGCCAGCCTGATCTCATCATCTGAGCGCCGAAATGTGACGAATGAAGTCGTGCAGATTTTGATCACGTCCTCTGGGACCTCAAGACTTGCTGCTGCTGCTACTTCAGTCAGGGTGAGAGGTCTGACACTGAAACAGAGCCAGGTGAGGATTGTTTTGGCATAAATGATATCAGAGGGTTTCGTGTTGATTCTTTCTATTACAGAGAGATATATGTCGTGCAACGTTTGTGGCATTGTTCTCAATGCTTCTATGATTTGAGACTTGTTGCGACATTCTTCGAGACGCTTCAGTTGAAGGTCTGCCCAGCGAAATCGCCTGCGCAAAAGAGTATCTATATTAGCAATAGTACTAGCTGGAGAGATGCAGCATACCTTTTCTCATCTTGTAGTAGTTCCTGAATTATCTGTGCTTTCACTTCCTTTGGAGCTCTCCTGTCGTCCAGAGCCTCAACCCTGTCCTTGACGAAGGCCGAAATATCAGACCCCTGATTTTCCTCGATGTCTAAGGCTGTACATTCCACGAGGTGATCAACTATATCTGGCTCTGGTCGACTAGTCACAAGGATATGGATTTTATCGCTGTATTTCTTCTGAAGTCCAGTAAGCAGTGGCAACAGAAGACTCCTTTCCTTGCGATTGACTGCCTCGGGGCACTCGTCCAGCGCATCTAAAATAAGGAAATTTTTCCCTTTGTTGGCAGCAAGCAATATTTCAAGAGTCTCCTGAAGCCTTGTATTGCTTGGATTGCTTCCTTTGGTACCATAGTCGCTCCAAAGATTCCGGATAGGCCCGTCGAGTGGAGTTGAATGAAGCTGACGGATGATCGTCCTGAGCATATTCTCAATTCTTTGTGATGACGGATCATTGAATTGGAAATACCAGTAAGCGAACCGCGTGTTCGAACCATCTATACAGATTTGCTGGATGTCTTCGATGATTGTCGAGCTATATGTAATCAAATGTCAGCCCGAGGTTCGATAGTACACGTTTTTAGGAGGTCTTTTATACCACATGACTGATTTACCACAGCCCGCTTTTTTATGGGTCAGTTTATCTTCCATCTAAACAGCTCTAGAGAACTTACCCACTCCATGTAACCATAATATACTACCTGGGCAGTCCTTCCACCTCACATATTCTTTTGACTTCAAAAGCCAATCACCTGTCCCTGGTGATCTGTGATACTGATTGTCATTCTGTGCTTTGGAAAAGTCGTACTGAGATAGCCATTCAAGTATTCCTTTATCCTCAACGCCTGTTTAAATCAGAATTTGAGCATTTGAGTTGGGATCATTGAGAGAGCTCACTTAGTACAGTGGAATGAACTTTTTGGAGCTCCTCGATCGTCTTGTCGATAGCCGCAAGGATGTCCGCAGCCTGTCCCCTCAGATCTAACACGATTGAGCATTTTGAAGATACGGATAGGATTGAAGATGATAAACTCACATGAGCGGTCGGTGATAGTAGCCCATTTTTCAGCCATTATGGTTTTATTTTCCACAGCTGTTCGAAGCTTTTGCAGTGGCTGTTCGGTAAGGGGGATGAGTGTGCTTCCTATGCGAGCTGCAAATATGCATGTTAACCATATGCGCTATAGCATTCCGCGAACTTGACCGAATACTCAAACCTACCAAAGGCGCTTTCATTATATTTTTCTCTCACCTCCGCCGTATATTCGAGTATTGCTGTATAGACTCCCACAAGAGCACTATCTAGCTGCCTGTCCACGTAGGCCTCTGTGTATCGGCGGTTGCTATCTAGCACAGTAAAATATGCTAGCTGTTCCGCCAAGTATTCGGAGGCTTCTAAGATTACATCCCTGCGTGCAATATCTCTCTGGACCATCTACTGAGCGAGTTAGATATCTTGTAACCGGTTGCCAACGGAACAGTCTTCAGGAAGTTGCCCACCGTCAACCCTAGCGAAACTATCGTCCAGGCGCTTGACGCTGTGATTGGATCTCAGCATCTCCCAGATACCACATAGATAGATTGGTGACTTAGAGAACCCTACCATGTCCACTTGGGTCGAAGCTCGCAACCGCAGTGATTATCTGCTGCGCATTCAATGCGGACGCCAGGATATTCTGGGCAATTTCGCGGACTTTGATCTCACCCCCATTATGCCTTCGGATTGTCAACTCTTTCTTCTTATACTCGGTGTATTTACTTTTTGTCTCGCCGATGACTTCACGAATTATTTTTATTGGAGTCTTCTCTTCAGGTAACCAGTGTTTATGTTTCGGGTCCAGACTGTCGAATGCTACTTGCCAGAGATCCTTAGGTGAGGCAGCGGCGTGATCCGGCGGGATGCTAGCGGCCCCAGAACCGCTTCTTTTGGCAGGTGTGGTGTTTCCTCCATCATTCGAGCGCTTCGCATGGGGAATGGCAGGTTTGGCCTCCTCAGAGTCACCATCAGCCTGGGAACAGCAGAGCTTCGCACGTAGCTTCGTCAGCATTCTTTGATGAAGGGAAATTTAACTATGTCCGTGAACAACTTTCGAAGAGTTGAGTAGGGAGGTGAGAATCAAGAGTTCAATGCTGTGAGCTGAAAAGAATCCCCTCTTCCACGCGGTTTCTCGGGCATCTACAGCCGCTGTATACGTCACCTTGCAGGAGACTAATGTAGCCTCAGCACAGCCCGATTCCACAGAACTGCGAGGCTCCAGTATCACAAAACAAGTGTCTAACAGTAGGTACAACTCTATCCTTTCTGCTGAGATCTATCATCATCTAAGGGGGTTTTGTTACTGGTCTAGGAAGAAAGATTACAGTTCGAAGTGTGAACTTCTAGCTATTCTGCGTTCAACCGCTCATTCGATCCCTTTCCACCTAGGCGACCATCCATATCTCAAGAATACTTCCGCGAATCTCTGCTTTCACCACAATGTGGAAACCAGTGGACCTTCCCTTCCAGAACTCCCAGTCTCTGTCTCCACTACCTACAACAGATGAAATTCGCGCTTGCACCAATGTTCTCTGGGAGACCACGGCGTCCAAGGTCGTGACAATCAACGACAATATTGTCGTGAAATACGGAGGTTGTATCAATACCTGTGAAGGCCAGGCGTTGATTTATCTTGAACGCCATGTCCCCGAAGTTCCAGCCCCTCGACTGTACGCGATGTACTATGAGGGCAAACAACTTTTCCTAGTCATGCAACGCATCCCCGGCGTGCAGCTGAATGCCATCTGGCCAACATTAACCCCATCCGAGAAGGATGGCATTATAGCAAAACTTCAATTAATATTCAACACCATACGAAACGCCGAGTGCCCATGGCCCGACTTTTACGGTGGCTTGGACGGCGGCGGCGTACATCACTACCTATTTTACAGCCAGCACGGCGATCAGAAGTTTCTAGGGCCTTTCACTGGTGAACCTGCCTTCGTCGCGGGCCTGGTGGGTAATTATAGGGCCTTAGTCGAACGCAATAATCATCCGGATTACAAGGCTCGCTTTTACGAGAAATACCTCGCTCGCGTTCTTCAGGGTCACCGCCTACATTGACGCATGGAGATGTTCAGCAGAAGAATATCATGATTGTGGAGGACACAAGTTGCTCAAACGAGCAGGGTGAGCGTTCGTTTGACGTCGTACTGGTCGATTGGGAGAATGCTGGCTGGTTTCCTGATTTCTTTTTGTGCATCGCACCCCTTCATTTTTGAGTGGGATGAAGACTGGTCATGGCGAGTTCAGGACTTTGTGGAAGTGTGGCCTGCTGAGGTTGCTATTATGCAATTGATTGATAGGGAGTTAGGCTGGTGAGTTACCATTCTGGAGTTATTTTTTATCTAGATAAGGTGATATGAAACCGATGGCCATAGGATCGATTGTGTCACCACCATTCCAGAAACTTTTCCTCGGCCCAGAATAAGAGGCTGGCAAGTGTGTTCAGTTGAATGAGTTTTCCTAGAAACGGAAGGGGCTTACAAGGAATGTTGATCAAATATCAATGTTGTGACATATTACAGTCTAAGATATATATCAATATATAATGATGAAGAATATTAGTAACTTAATGTTATGTATAGAAACTAGTTATCAGGGTACTTCTGATTAGACTCTATTGTGTGAGTAGTACTTCGGTATTGAGGGGAGAGACTAGAACAGTCCTGCACTATCAAATAAGTAGTGCAACTGTCAGTATATACGCTGGAAGGTCCAGTGAATGGGCATACTAGTGATACATCGAAACTGCTACATCGGGAGGGGATGATCAAGAATGACGGAGATGCTTATGCACTTCTCCTGTATTCCTTCTTTCTATTGTAGATACCGAACTGATTTGTTTACATTCGCTAGAGAACATACGTTTATTGCTTGATACAGAAAACACGTGCTCAAATCATCATGATACAATCGAGAAGAACTAACTGATCATCAAAGCCATCATCATAACAAGAGAAGTATATCGCTGAACGACTCGAAGTAACATGAAAGATGATCAGCTATAGTTGAGGATAGGTCACTCAAACAGCATTGTTAGCACACGTCCAGACACCACTGCCACTGTCCTTGCTGATCGCATCTCCCGAAACGTATAATCCGAGACCGCACTGTAAAAGACATTAGCGGCAAGATCCTCTGGGACAAAGGGATACATACAAGCGTGATTGCCATGGCCAGAATGAACGTGTTAGACACGGTAAGAAATATTTTCTTAGTTGATGCGAACCACTGGCCCTTGTTCAGGGTGAACCAGAAGATAGCAGGGAATCCATCTATAAGATGTGGTTAGTATATTCCATAGCATCTTAGAATATTTGAAACTCACAAGCGAACCAACAGCCAAAAAGCGCAGTCTATCGTCGATGTTAGCATACATGTTCTGTAGCAGGAGATGGCCACGTACAATTAGACTCAAAAGGTTGTTGAAGACTGGGATTGACTCTGCGATGACCCAGGCAACTACCCAGGAGATCAATCCAATAGCGACCCATGAACCGATGGAGAGCAATGTCCGTTCATGCATGTGGTTTGTGCCGCGGAAAACACGCACGTACACGTATTTGCTGGCTACATGGCCATTGACAATTCCAGCAATGAGGACCTGAGGACATGAATCAGTAGTCGTTCCAGAAGATACAGTAAGTAACATACAGTCGGAATAGCCAGTCCGTAGGCGATTTTCTTTCCTAGGGGCCCCGCAGAGCCTAATGCAGGAGATTGAACATCCACACCAACGTAGCGGTATATAACCACTGCGCTAGCTATGTATAGCGAGGTATCAATGACTTGGAGTACCGATATGGACTTGGTGAACTCTCGAGGTTTGTCCATCTCTGAGATGAATCCGAAGAACGACGCATGGCCGACTGTTGATGGTCGTGAAGTTAGTTGTATTGCTCACGAATCATGATTAGCTGGGGCTATACCATAAGCAAAGAACAAATTGCTGACTGCCAGAAATTCTTCGTTGAAGCTGAGATGGGTAGTCGCAGCAAGAGGGATGTGGCCTTTGTACTCTACGCCGACCGCTATCATAGTGGCCATAGTTGCCGCTACAATGCTGAGAAATGCTATACAGAAATTAAATTAGCATCACGATTAAAGTGAAGTGTGGAAGATGGGAAGGTGCTTACATGCAATCGACATCCAATATACTTTGTCCATGGTACGTGGTAAGGCACCAACGCAACTGACAACCAGTGCAATGACACCAAACACGATTGTGCAGGTACCATGCTCGGTAATCGTATTCATGAGAACCGTGAAGGTCAAGACGTGACTGGCCATAACGAATATAAGGAATAGTAGCTGGCCGATACCAAGCAGTTCACGTCCGAATCGCCCCATTATGATTTCACCCGCATCTCCCATGCTATGGACCTGGGGGTATCGTAACTTGAACTGACAAAGAATGTAGGCCGTGTACCATGATATAGCAGATATTCCAATTAGTATGATCAGAGCCCTAGATTAGGCTTAGCTTTCGTCTACCAGTGTAGCAAGTCACTTACGGGACAAATCCCAGCGTTGCAAAGGCGGATGGAAGGGATAAAATTCCAATAGAAACATTCTCTGCGACCATGACTGTAGACAATAAGAGTTAGGGGTCTATGTCTTTTCGGTGACTGCAATAAGGTTGAGGCTCACGTATCCCTGTTTTCCTGCATGTTGCGAAGAAGTGTCAGATACACGGCCAAGGCGTAGTTTAGGGGTAGGGGATATAGGACTTACCACCAACCCATCGTCCGGTATTTCACCTCTGCGAACTCTTCATTTCCAAATGGATCTTCCTCTTCAGGGGATGTATCATCCAGATGCTTCTTCTCCACATCCTGTCCGTAGTCATACGCAGGAGTGTCATGAATCTCTGCCAGGTCTCTGGGTCCTATCGAAGCACTCATTCTTCCCAAGATGACCAAGTGGTAGGACTAATAGATGGGTATTCTATATGAAAGTATAAAGAGGAAGTGAGGACAGTAGGCTCAGCACAAGAAGTGGTGAGATTTGCAGGTGAGACTCGAGAACATCTGGCCTATTTGAGCCAAGTTGGCTTGCACCTGGCCACGGTATTGACCCAGTGAGAGGCCGATATGCCATCTGCCTGAGGCATCCATGATCATGTCGACCTGACGGTTGCAGTCAGCCAATGCACAAGGACCATTTGCGAGGCATCGGTTTATCTCCGCTAGCATGACGTATTTCCTATACGTGTATTTGGGCCTTCTGACCCTCAAAGGCTACCTGCTGGGTGCTGATAGTGAATTCCGGTGGCTGTTCTTTTCCACAGCGGAAGCTCATGGATAGATATGGCCGATCCATAGCCTGATTGGATAGAGTGGCGGAACGGGAAAGGCTCAGCGATGCGGGGATAAGCATAGTTGATTAGCGTCTGGGGAAAACATGTCAATGAGATATGATAGTTCGGGTCGAGTAATCGTTGGCTAATCAGTATTCGCTTCGATAGCGCCTGGGCACTTATCTCTTCTTTCGCCTGTTGTGAGCGGCTCGCTCAACTGCAGATGTGGAGCAGGAGTGCACAGAAGCGTGGCCAAGGGATGGAGATTAAGCTATTCAGGGCGTTAGTGAAACCTTGCAGGTGAGGTTAGTGTATGCGCTGGAGAGATAGCGGGTTGCTGCATGGAGCCAACAGCCGATACCCGTCCTTACCATACACAAAAGCAATAACATCCATACCTGCGCGCTACGAGTTACCCCTCCCGGGAGCCAGGGGTTAGTGCAGCCGTATCTGGCATCTTCATTTGCACTCGGCTACTCGCTTTGCTGATCCTCGTAACGGGCCCAAATACTTAGGAACTGTCCGGCTACTGCCGCGGTCCTGATACGTGCCCGCAAAAATGATAGTCAAGACAATCAAGTAGAGAGATAAGTTATTCTCGTTTGCTGCGCCCCGCACTGGTATTTGCCCTATCTAACCATCCATCTTCTGTGCAAAGATGCCCTCAAATCCGTATTGATTATACACCCCACTCCGAACGCCGGTAGAACCCTTGCTGCCCTCAGCGATGATGATTGCATATAGCCTCTCCGTATCGTAACGGATCTTTCTGCTATCGTGGCCATTTGTGGACGAGCAATAACATCTAACGCGATCATATGGAATGGCGTATTCACATATTGCACCAAGGCGGGAAGAGCGAGCTGGGTCACAGTTCTCTTGGTATGCGGGTCTGCAGTGATCCAATCTGGAACTAACGAGGCCACCTGAGGAGCCAGCGTGAAAGAGCTGGATATAGTGATGCTGTCGCGGAAAAGAAATGCCATGTACGCGAGTCTTGGGATGGGAGTTGGCTGCTTGAGACGACCGTCTGGGTGTCCGTAAAACTGAGAGAACCTGATATCCTTTAGGATTCCCAGAGACACATTGACGACGTATGTTGGGAGGAAGCTGAACGTTGCGACGAGACTCGCGCTTGTTGATTTCTCTCTTATTCTGGAAAGCTGGTCGAGGCTTGTATCGGTGGCATTTGCGGTAGCGTAGGTTGCGGCGTAGAGAGACCAAGCGATGAAGAAAGGTCGGGAAAAGTAAAACTTTTTCGGTTGGAGGATGGAGCAAATGGCATGTGTGCGAAGTGTATGCAGGATGGATCTATTTGAGGAGAGCCTCTCCACGACGCTCCTGAACTCGACATATCAGCACATGGATTCCGGTTCGTCTTCAAGATACATACCGGTCGATAACTGTTGTGATGGGGGCGATAATCGTTGCAGACAGTGATCCTGCGACTATATCGCCGGCTAACTGCCTGAGCCAGTCATTATCCCAGCCACGAGAGTGCAATAGCTCTGTGGTGACACGTTCAGGCGACATTCCGGAGTTCCAGGTACTCAAATACACCCTGAAAGAGGGGCCTTCAATTAAATAGATACAATCGGCTCAACAGCAGGGGTACCAGTCTCCAATTGGCTTCATTCTAGGGGATGCCCAGTTCTGTGCTGAATTTTGGAAGAGCTTTCATACCTCGTGGAGATGCATCGGGGAGGGCCTTCGGGTCTAGGGCTGTTGCGGACAGTATTCACCAGACTTGTAAGCTAGAGCTACGACAAGCAACACATTGACCTGACAGGCCTAGAGCCCGATAATGCTCTTCCCCAGGCATGCTGTGTACGAAAGGAGGGGCAGTCGGGCACCCCTCACATGAGCGTGAATCTATTCGCTCTAACCGGTGAGAAAGCCTATCGGTAAAGCTGCATGGATAAGATAGCTAACGCCCTAGCTTATCTAAATGCGATAGGCAAACCAAGATGTGGCTGACATGCGGGATTGAAGTAAGATGGCGTTAACAAGAGGTAGACCAAAGGAACGGTTTCATGCCGCATTAGGGGGATCTCCAGCGGAAGGCTAGTGTACCCGCCACTATACTTAGCCGGGAAGGTCCAAGTGCCGGGCTAGTTTACCCGCCAGCTGGATGGACTCCAAATCGGTGGATCTTACTCCTCACTCTCCTCACTTCCAGCTGCAACAGCGCCGAACATCGGTCTGCCAAGCAGTTGACTCCTCAAGCACCATGGCCAGTACCATGGCCAGCATCATACATAAGAATGATGTTCACCATGTTCGTCTCTTCCAGGTCTATGCTCAGTTTTTACTTTACGGCCTCTGCTACCAGACACTATCATAATGGCCTTCAAACTACCCTTGTCTCAACCTACACCCAGCGTGCGCTCCCTAGGACGCCGTGCCGCTAGAGCTCCAGTTCTTCGAGCTCGTGGTGTTGCGACCGTACCTTTTCGTCTACCAGCTGCTAGAAATGAGCCCAACGTGAGTTGATGGCTTCCTACGCACTCTCATATCACACATATACTAATACTCTCCGTGATAGCTGGACTACACCAGGGGATCTCCCGAAAGGGCAGAGGTCGAAAAGGTGCTAAAGCAGATGAAGTCACAACTGCCGCTCAAGAGTCAGGCATACGTCGGAGGCAAAGCGCTCTCGATCTCAAACACATTGCAACAGCCTCTGCCCGCCGAACATGCCACTACCTTTACCAACTACCCTAGCGTGAATGCTGCACAAGTAAATGCGGCAATTGATGCAGCATTGGAGGCAAAGGAAGCGTGGCAGAACACTCCCTTTGTCGATCGGGCTGCCATTTTCCTCAAGGCTGCCGAGCTTGTCGCCGGCAAGTACCGATACGAACTCATCGCTGCCACGATGCTGGGACAAGGCAAAAACATCTGGCAGGGTGAGATTGATGCAGCTGCAGAGTTGGCCGACTTCTTCCGTCTGAACTGCAACTATGCTGCTGAGCTGCTGGAGAAGCAGCCCGACCGCGGTACTGAGGGAATGTGGACGTAAGTGCAAAGCTTGGAACTTGGGACGCTCAGATATTAACTGTTGTCTAGCCGTGTGGACTACAGACCCTTGGAAGGATTCGTTTACGCCGTGTCGCCTTTCAACTTTACTGCTATTGGCGGAAACCTAATTAGCGGTCCGGCTCTTATGGGCAATGTCGTCGTTTGGAAGCCCTCCGATTCGAACGTGTACGCAAGTGAGCTCGTCTACAAGATCCTCCTGGAAGCTGGCCTGCCTCCCAATGTTATCCAGTTCGTTACAGGTGATGCGCAAGAGATTACACAGACAGTGCTCGGACGCAGGGAATTTGGTGGTCTCAACTTTACCGGTTCATCGGACGTCTTCCGTTCTCTGTACGCTCAGGTCGGCGAAAACATTGGCAAGAAGGTTTACCGGGACTACCCTCGTCTGGTTGGCGAGACCAGTGGCAAGAACTTCCACCTGGTCCATCCCACTGCCGATATTCAGAGTGCTGTCTACCACACTCTTCGTGGTGCTTTCGAGTACCAGGGACAAAAGTGCTCGGCCACGTCCCGACTGTACCTGCCTGAGTCTCGGGCACAGGAGTTCTTGGAGAAGTTGAAGTCCGAGATCAACGAGATCACGATTGGTTCTCCCGAGGACATGGGAGCTTTCATGGGCCCTGTCATCCACAAAGCATCTTTCGAGAAGATCAAGTCGGTCATCGATGCCAGCAACAAGGATCCATCCTTGGAGTTGATTGCCGGTGGTACCTACGACGGCTCGAAGGGATACTACGTGCACCCTACTGTGTACCGGGCCAAGGATCCCAACCATGAGCTGTTCGACAAGGAAATCTTCGGTCCAGTGCTCGCAGTCTATGTCTACCCTGATGCCGAGTGGTCTTCGGTTCTGAAGACAGTCGACCAGAGTGGCGGTGGATTCGCTCTGACTGGAGCTGTATTCGCAGGCGATCGGCGTGCCATTCGCGAGGCTGAGGATACCTTGCGGTACTCTGCTGGAAACTTCTACATCAGTAAGTGATCATTTTATTACTCTCTAGATTTCACTACTAACGAATTACGCAACAGACTGCAAGACTACTGCTGCTCTGATCGGACAACAGTCATTCGGTGGCAGTCGCTCTAGTGGAACCAACGACAAGGCTGGCAGTGCCAATGTCCTCATGAGATTCGCCAGCCCTAGAACGATCAAGGAGGAATTCTTCCCCTTGAACGGCTTCCGGTACCCCAGCAACGAGTAATGGTTTGAATATTATATAGGCGCCATGAGACATGAAATCGGAGGTGAGAGTGTGTAAAAATAGAATTCACAATGATAACGATTCAACTTATACTGTTCTTCCCATGAGTAGATATCATCTTAATACTATCTAGTTCCAATTGTAGACATTAGTATAGAGACTACCCTGTCGAATCAGGTGACCGTCTAATCCGAGACAGCTTGTTCACTCTACAATTTCACCTTCACCTCCACTTCAATGACACAGGCATCGAGCTCGTCCATGACCATCATTTCAGCAAATCTCGAGCCACTGCATTCTCTTGCGCGAAGGCGATCTGTTACTACTACTCTCACCGTTACCTAAAACATGTCTTAATGCCAGGATGTGTAAATCCTTCCTTGTCCCTTCTCACGACAAAACCTAACATTGACTTCTCCAGCTGCAACGAAGCCCCCGCACCTCCTATCGGCTATCGCCATGTATCCCCTCATGCAAGACCCACCGACTGATTATCTCTGGAGGCCAGATCCCCATTATCCAGCCGATACAGCTATGTACTAGCGTCACCGCCTATCTCCAGACCCTCGCATACACTAACCGGCGATCATCGTTCACGCTAACGCCTCCAACGCCCCCGTTCTTCTCCAAGATGACAATCCCCACATGAACAGTAAGATAGTGTATCCGGTATGTATCGCTTGCGCTAACCCACAATTCCAGATGCACCAGACGCTCGAGCCACTCTGATAAGCTGCACGTTACACTATCGCTGCGCGTTTCTGGTATGTGCACTCCAATTCTGGTGGAGGTACAGCGGGGGCAGACGGGGGAGGAGTAACTGCCGACCTGTTCATGCTCACAGCATGCTACCTGTACGTGGTATGATTCATCTGAATTGGCAAATTATTTCTATGCCTTGATACTACTAGTATATAACCCCATTGCAGCTCATCAGGACGAATCAACCTCTCATGCTCCCACTCAGTGATCATCACTTGAGCTGACCCTCTCTCTCTGCCCCCTCTCACACCCCAATTGTGCCCCCGTATACCATCCCACAATGGTATCAACATCCAAATCCGACCCCATCGCCATCATCGGCGCTGGTGTCTTCGGCCTCACCACAGCCCTCCACCTGTCCAGCAACGGCTTCACCAACGTCTCCGTCTTCGAAAGAGACAACCAAGTCCCAGCCCGCTATTCCGCCGGCCACGACATCAACAAGATTGTGCGCGCAGAATACGAAGACCCATGGTACACTGAACTGACCCTCGTATGTCCTCCCCCCATTCCCATCCTCGCCCCCACCACCCACACACCTAACACCCCATTCTAAACAGCAAGCCATCGAAGGCTGGAAAACCCCCCTCTACGCCCCGCACTACCACCAAACGGGCTTCCTGCACCTCGTCTCCGGCGCCGCTCCCGAAAAGGCCTCGCAGACAATGAACCGCTTCCTCGCCTCTATCCGCAACCACCCCACCTACAAAGGCAAACTCACCACCATCTCCACCCCAGCCGACATCCGCAACGTCGCTTGGCAACTCACCGGCCCCCTCCCAGGCTGGAACGGCTACTTCAACCAACTAGCCGGGTACGCGCACTCGGCCAACGCTCTCCGCGCCGTCTACGAAGCCGCCGCAGCTCGTGGCGTGAAATTCTTCCTCGGCGAAGACATCGGCCGCGTGACCTCGCTGATCTACTCGTCCCCCACAAACAAGAAACAAGTGACCGGCGTCCGCACAGCCAATGGCCAAACCTACCCCTGCAAACTCGCCGTCGTCGCCATCGGCGCCGCGGCATCGACCCTCGTCCCTGAAGCAGGGGGCCAAGTCGTCGCGAAGTCGTGGTCGCTGGGACATGTCAAACTCACAGACGAGGAGACGTCCATGCTCCGCGGAATTCCAGTAACCTATGCACGCGATCTAGGATTCTACTTCGAGCCGGATCCGAAGACCAATCTACTCAAAATCTGCCCTATGGGCGGCGGGTATATTAACACGGATCCCGCGTCCGGGGTATCGACCCCGCCGAAGACGCTGCAGGAGAGTGAGGGGGTGTTGCCGGCGGAGGATGAGAAACGGATGAGGAGGTTGTTGAGGGAGTCGTTGCCGCAGTTTGCGGATCGGCCGTTTGTGGAGAAGAAGTTGTGTTGGTTTGCGGATACGAGTGATTCGGAGTTTATCATTGATTTTGTGCCGGAGACGGAGGGCTCGGTTGTTCTCTGTTCGGGAGATTCGGGGCATTTGTTTAAGATGTTGCCGATTGTGGGTGATTGGGTATTTACGTTGTTGAAGGAGAGGAAGC